GGGGCCCGGCGCGTGCGGCTGGGAGGCGCTGTGGGGGGCGGGCGCGCGGGCGGCGGCCGGGGCCATGGCCGAGGGCGGCGGGGGCGCGCGGAGGAAGGCCCCGGCGCTGCTGGAGGCGGCCCGGGCGCGCTACGAGAGCCTGCACATCTCGGACGACGTGTTCGGCGAGTCGGGCCCGGACAGCGGCGGGAACCCCTTCTACAGCACCTCGGCGGCCTCGCGCTCCTCCTCGGCCGCCTCCTCGGACGACGAGCGTGAGCGCCCCGCGCCCCCGGGGGCCGCCCCGCCGCCCCACGCCGCGGACCCCCTGGAGCCGGACGAGGCGGAGGCCGGTGGGGGCTGGAGCGCCGTGCTGCGGGATCGCCCGCCCCCGCGCTTCGAGGACACCGGCGGTGAGCATCGCCCGGGGACGCGGGGGTTCAGGGGCGCAGGGTGCGGCCTGAAGGCGAGTTCCGGACCCTCCCGCCCGCGCCCGTGTGTTTCTGGAAGCAGACGGTGACTTAGGCAGAGACGGTCCTGTTGCCTAGGGGGTGGTCCCAGGCTCCTCGTGGGTGGGGCCCGCGCCAGCCCCTGCCAGGGGCTTTCGCCTCCGACCGTGTCACACCTGTGGGGTCAGGTGAAGTGGCCTTCCTGTGGAGGGTGTCCAGACGCCTGGCACTGCTGAGCCGAGGCAGGGAGGGTCAAGGCCGAGGCCGGCGTCAGCTGAAGCGCAGTGAGAGCCCGGTGCCAGGCCACCCCAGCATCTTCACTGAGCTCCGTTTTCCTGAGAAACTTCCCGTGGTGCCAGTCATGCTCGCTGAGCACCGGGAGGGGCGGGGGGTGATTGCGCGGCGCCAGGGCAAGTGCTCTGAGTCCGCGTTACTTTCAGCGTGTGTAGCCCAGACCTAGGTTGTCTGGAGAAGGTGACTGGAGTTGAGCGCAGCGACTGCCACTCCGGGCCCTCAGGCTGCTGCTGGCTCGCTTCTGCAGAGTCGAATTTTAAAACGCCGCTCTGCAGCAGCTCAGCCCTTTGCTTTGACCCCAGCGCTTCCCGGCAGGCGGGTGTTCCTGGCACACAACCAGTGCAGATGGGTACCAGGGAGTGCCCTTTGCAGGATCCCACCACCACCACACACTTTGGGCTGTGTATGCTTAGCGACACTCGAGAACGCAGGCCCCAGGGACTGGGTCTGGAAACTTTGCCGCAGGGAGCTGGAGATGGGAAACGTTGGCCGGGCCCTGGAGGGAGTGGCATGCAGCCTTGCCAGGCTGTGTCCTGCATGGGCAAAGTTGCAGCTGGATGGTAGTTTTACCGTCACGCTTCAGGGTTCTGAGTGGGTCTGTTTTTAAAGCATTTGGCTGTGGTTAACGTGCTTCAATCGCCCTTCTGCACCGTCCTACATTTCCCAGTGTGCCGATAAGGGCCTCCTGCCCTGGACAGCTGTTTTCCACATTGGCTCTTGGGACTGTACCAGCCCAGTGCCCTGGCGTGGCAGTCTTTCTGCTGTGAGCCTGTGTGATGCCGTGTTGATCTTGCAGCACTTAAGATGGAAGTCTGCAGAGCAGAACTCAGCAAAGCTCGTAGGTCTCAGGCCAAAGCAGGCTGGGGTAGGCTGAGTTTAACAGTGATGGAGGTTCGGCCGTTGAGAAGGGCAAACACCCCAAAAGGACTTTTAGACAGTAGTTTACTTCTTAGTAACCTGTATGTCAAGATGTCCCCAGCACGAAGACCAGGATTACCCGGCACTAGCATTAGGTTCAAATCTGTCTTCCTGCCAGGGCCGCCGAGTTCCCACCTGTACCTGAGAGCCACTGTAAGGTGCCTTGGCAAAGGCATTGGTGGCTGTGTGCTGGTATTCATGGCCAGTGCTGTTCTGCTCCATGCGTGATCTTCTCTTTTAAATTTAGGTCTAACTTAGAATTTCCTCTTCAGGGAACCATCTCCCTGAGGGAAACACAGGGAAAGGATAGAGGTACAGAGCTGATAGCCTCTTGAGCACGAGGGGTGTGATTTATCAGAGCTTAAAATAGATTCCGACTTCCAGGTGGTCAGAAAAGATCCTGGAGCCCGGGGTGTGGACGGAGATGGATGTGTTTATCAGGAGTCCGGCTGCGGCAGCACTCAGCTGAGAGTCTCAGCCTGCCAAGCTACCCACCCACGGCACCGGGCTCTCGAGAACGCAACCTGCTTCTCGTTCCTTCTGTGCCGCCCCGATTCTTAACAGATATACGGGGGGGGGCGTGTTTTGATCTGTTTTCAGGGTTCCTAACAGATCGTTTGCACTCGCTGTGTCTGCTGTGGTCTAGTGAGGACTGCACAGAGCTCGAGGTTGCTATGGAACTTGCAGGCTTGCTCCACCGTAAGCAGCCGTGTCTGTGCACGAATCTGAGCGTGCAGGAAGGCCTGCAGGGCAGTTCCCTTGCTGTCACTGGTTGAGCTGGGAGAATTTCTTCTCTTGGGGAGAATGCACCTGCTTGTTCCCTTGACTCCTTTGATGACCTGGAGACCTTTGCTGAGTCTTTGGGCAGGAAAGAGCTGCATATTGGGTTCCACTCTGTGCTGAGTTTCTGTCAGAGCAGTTCTGTGGCTCCATGGAGAAAGTGCACATGCTAGAGAGACGCTGGTGCTGAGAAGAGGAGGGCCGGAGAGAGAGCGTGGTTACTGGTGAGAATCCGGGCCCTCCAGGCTGTTCAGAGCTTCCCAGCCTCATCCCTATTCTCCATGGCTTCAGCTTGTGGGATGGAGCATGCGTAGCGAGGCCCAGCCAGCAACGGCAGGGGAATGGCCCCCTTGCTTCTCTCAGGCTCTGCTCTGAGGTATGGGTCCCCTTGGGAAGACTTACTTATAAACACTGGCAGGCTGGTTGGCACGTGTTAACCCTTGTGTGGACAGTCTTGCTGGGAACTGAAATGCTTTCTGGGAGCAAACAGTCCAGACTTGGAGCTGAAGCCCTAAAATAGCCCAGCAAGCTGTCAGCCTCACTTGCCTTCCCACAGTGCGAATCACCAGCAGCATGCCACGCTCTCCTGGGAGCAGTGTGGAACTCAGGCAGGCTGTGCTTCAGGCCTCTGACCTTCAGGTTTCCTCCACCAAGCAGGCCTGCGATCACCTCTTGAGGCAGAGGAGCAGGGAGTACCGCCGTCTCGGGTCTCCTGTTCCAGCTTTGCTGGGTCTCTGTGGTGACCGGCTGGGACTCCAGTAGAGCCTGACCTTGGGAAGATGAGAAGCATTCGGGGTTGGAAGTTAACATCACTGAATTTTTATCCTTAGAGTTTACTGCTGGATTATTATCGTGTTTTTGTATGTGTATATTTATTTGAGACGGGGCTTCTCTGTGTAGCCCTGGCTGTCCTGGACTCACTTGTAGACCAGGCTGGCCTCATGCTCACAGAGATCCGCCTGCCTCTGCCTCCCGAGTGCTGGGACTAAAAGTGTGCACCCCCACACCTAGTTTACTGCTGGTTTACTAATGTCGTTCATCTTTAACTCTTACAATAATTGTCTTATATATATACTCCTTGAGAGTTTCATGCATGCTTGGAATGCATTTTGATCATATTTACATCCTCTTTCATCCTTCAACACTTCTCAGTCTCTCTCTTCTCTCATCTGCCTCCCAACTTTGTGTTCTTGTTCTCTCTCGCTTCTCATTACCCTCTGAGTCTAATTTATGTTGCGCATCTCTGCAGGGGTGTGGGGCTGTCCACTGGAGCATGGTCAGCCCAGCAGAGACCACATCCCTAAAGAACACTGACTCTTTCCTAGCAGGTACCAACTGTAGATGGCTCCTTAGCTAGGGGTGGGGCCGCTGTGCCCGACCCCCATACATGCTGGCATGTAGCCCGGCTTGACCTTGGTCTCCTGAATCCCTGAGTGTGGTGGTCCTGTCATACCCACAAGACACTGCACCTCCCCAGTCCTCCCCAACCTGGCTCTTACATCTTCCTGTCCCCCTCTTCCGAATATTTCCTGAGCCTTTCTGTCAGAGGTGTGACATAAATGTCCTGTTTATGGCTGAGCACTCCACAGACATCCTTTGAACTCTAACCAGTTGTGAATCTTGCAAATACCATCTAGTGAAGCCTTTTCAACTCATAAGTAAGAGAAAAAAAAAGTTTCTTTTTAAGGCCAGAGTTAAGTGGGTCTGTGACCCCCGAGGTGGCCCTCCTGTGGAGCCGGGAAGCAGCGCCTTCTGTCTTGGGCCTATGCCAGGCCCAGGCCGTGTGGCAGCAGGAGGAGCCTGGGACTGGGGAGCCGCAGTGCAATCTCGGGCACGGCCGCCTAACAGCTGAGCAGTGCTGCTGGCTTCCTGGAAGCTCTGTGTCCCGAGGCTGCCCTGGGGGATCCTGGAGGTCCCAGGTAGCTCTCACCAGTAATTGCACATCTGTGCGTTGTCACACCCATGCTCACACGGGCTCTGTGGCGGAGAAGTATGGTTCCCGCAGATGAAGAGGCTCTGAGCTTCCTCCTTGTGGGGGCAGGTGGAGAGCCCTGGCCAGGTGGATGCCATCCGCCAGCCATGCCTGACAGCTCGGGGCCGGCAAGTCCACAGGCATCTCGTCACCAGAACTTCTGTCAGCTCTCGGCCGTCCCGGGCTGATGTTCACGTTAGTACATAGACTTGCCTTTCAAGGTGGGCGTGGGTGGGATTACTATTCTGTGAATCTTAACACAGGAGTGAACTGTTAGACCAACCCTAGGCAGGGTGGAGCAGGAAGAGCACAGTGCGGCCTTTCAGGAGGCGGGACTTCCTACGCCAGGGGGCGTGGCTACGGGTCTGCAGGACCTGCATAAGAGCCCCTCTCTCAGCTCTAGAGGGCCTACTCACCTTCATTTCTAAACTCTGTGATTGTATGTTTTTTAGGCTTATTTATTTATGCATTTTATGTGCATGGGGACTCTGCACGTGCATCTGCACACCAGAACACATTGTCAGACAGTCGTGAGCCGCCATGTGGGTGCTGGAAACAGAACTCGGGACCTTTAGAAAAGCAGCTGGCGAGTGCTCTGAACCGCTGCGCCAGCCTCTCTCTGGCCCCTCTGTGTTTTTCTTAACAGCGTAATAAACACCTCCATTTTAGAAAATAAAAATGTATTAAAATACATTAGTTCCACAATTTTCTATTATCCAGAGAAAACCAACTGTGATGCCAAATATTTAAGTCCTGTATATTATAAGAGCTCATCGTGGTGGATGAGCTGACTCTTAATTGCAGTAATGATTTGTGGACATTTCTCATTGAAATTTAAGATTGTAAAGTTTTAATGGCTCTGTAACACTCTGCTGGCCCCTCTGGTCAGCCTTGAGCCTGTGGCCTTAAACAATTGTTCCCGTATGTGCGTGTGTCCGAGGCGTGGGGCCCGTGTGACAGGTTGTGCATGAGGAGATCAGAAGACAGTTTTGTGAGCCCT